CAAATTATCCGAGAAAAAATTTGGCGGGCTCTTACGTGGGTACCATACGGGTAAGACCGCTCATTTCGGGGATGGGGGCCCGTACTTGCATACAGATTATGCCCAAAGTTTCAGCCCTGTAGCTTTTGCCGGTCTCGAGATGAAAAATCGGTACAGACGAACACACAGACATACACACACGCAGACAACCTCTCATCAATATGCGTTTTCTGCAATGCATAGCTGCAAAAAACGCATAAAAACTGTCGAAAGCATGTCATTTGCTTGTAAACAAGAGGAATTAGTAGCTGACCTGGGGATCAAGGTGAAGCGTAGTTTAATGATAGCCACTGGGACCGATCATCATATTTTGGAAATTCATGGAACACTTCAGACGGTGAAGGCTCAAATGCTCGATCCTAACGACGTTGTTCAGGAGGCCACCATCGAGCTTGTTGGAAAATGCGTGATATTAGTAAAGCCAGATTACGTTTACGTTCCGCAGTGCTACTGGACATTAATTCAGCGCATAATGGGCAGTGGATTAGCACTCTAGAAACAAGTATTCGAACAATGCGTGAAATTTATAAGGGGCTCCCGAATTATGAAATCCTCGGAATTTTGACAATAATCAACATCCGCACAGCGGAAAATAACTGATGGAGTTTGGAAATGAGTTGCTGGAAGCGTGATTCAAGTAACTGGCAAGGTACTTAAAGTGACGAATATAATCCAAATATAGGACGAAAGTATACGATATTATAGCAAATTTAATTTCTACAGTTGAAGCGAGCCATCCCTTTAGGTCTAACGCTATAGTATTTTGTCCTGTGCTTCAAAATCTAAATAAATATGAGATGCTATTTGATCTATGAGTCCTTGGTCCACGTAAGATACACTGATCGAAATCCGGCATCTGTTGTCGTTTCTGGTCAATAAAGTATCAATCCTTTGCGATGGCTGCACGTTGGTATCTACCATCTTTATCGGAATCGGGCATTTTTGTTCCTTCGAAAGACCGTTACCGCGGGTGCAGTATCAGTACTCGGATACATTGTCCAGATTGCATAATCCACTGCTTGTTGTGGTCTGCTGTAGAATTTGCTTTTGTAGCTTCGTACTTGGGTCAATTATAACTCATTATCTGGTCTTCTGTTCGTGGAATTGGCAATTTTTATGCGTTTTGTGCTGTGTAACGGTAGCACAAAACACATATTGTCACAGGGTTGTCTGTGTTTGTGTGTATGTGTTCGCAGCAACTTGTCCGCAACTTTCAACTCGGAAACTATAAAAGCTAAGAAGCTGAAGATTTAGGGGAAAGTTCCCCACCCACGTGTGACCCCGCAAGGTTTAAATTGAGCTTTCCCGTACCAGCGGGTAACACGTATGGACCCGTGAAATTTTTTTACGGGCAAATCAATATCTCGGGGGCCACGGAGTCCAGGAGGCTGAAATTTTATGATAATGATCCACTGTCCACGCTCAACCTTGCCCATTCAAATTCAGCGTTCCCGTACTCTCGGTATCACCTACGGCCTCGTGAAAATTTTGGCGAGTAACCTATCAACTAGGGAATCACGGAAAGATAGTCACCCTTCAAGGTTTCGAATTCAGCTTTCATGCGCTGGTGCGTGAAATTTTTAACTGTTTTCCAA